AGAATCCCAAGCAGGCTCTGCATGGGATCCAAGCAGTCAATGCAGAGGGGACTTGAATCACACACCGTGAAAGCCAAAATCAAGAGCCAGATGCTTAACTGACTGAGCCACCCCGCCACCCCTATGCTTTCTGTTGCAGGACCCAGTGTTTTCTCTTCCGTGGCAGAGACTGCTTGCTATCCACAAAAATCTTTTCTCTTCTTTGGTAATAATGGGCTTCTAGTGGGGCATATGACACCTTCTATGCTTCACTTCCTGGGTTCCTTTGGGGTTAGGTTTAGCCATGTGCTAAACTTTCTTTAGTAGAATTTGGCTGAAGTGACACGTGCCACTTTCTGGACCGACCCACAGAAACTTCCGTATGTGTCTCCCGTGTCTTCTCCCCATCCTGAGGGCTCGAATGGTCACAACCTTTAGGTTCATGGAAGGTTTGTACAGAAGACCACAGCTCTGATGTCGGCCCAGTGCTTGGGCAGAACTCCCCACCCAGCTGGCCCTGCCTCCCTAAACTGTTACACGAGAGAGAATCAGACCCTTCCAGGGCCTGTTTGTTTCAGCAGCTTCGTCTACCGCCATGCAAACACCTTCCAGTTGAGTTCAGAGGCTTTCAGGAGTGTGTGACAGAAAGGCTAGAGAAATAAAGGCAGAGCTTCTAGTCTGAATGGAAGATCAGGCTAGTGCTAACTATTTCCAACTACAGTCTTTAGAGACGTGGAATAAAATACCTGATTCCACAAGTGGAGTGCAAGGCCGAGCTTGTAAGGAGGAAAGGAAAATTGGAAATCTTCAAATACTAGAAAGCGAAGTCAAACTTGAACCTGAGTGCCAGAGAGGCAGCCTGTGAGCTGAGGGGTTGACAGTCCCGGGGAGCCAGGAGGGATTAAAGGCCTGACCTTGTCTTTGTTGCTGGTTTGCTTTATTTTTTTTAATGTTTTTATTTATTTTTGAGAGAGAGACACGCACAGAGTGAGCAGGGGAGGGTCAGAGAGAGAGGGAGACACAGAATCCAAAGCAGCCTCCAGGCTCTGAGCTGTCAGCACAGAGCCCGACGCAGGGCTTGAACTCACGAACCGCAAGATCATGACCTGAGCCGAAGTCGGACGCTTAGCCAACTGAGCCACCCAGGCGCCCCTACCAGTCACCATTCTAAGCTCTTTACATGATTCACTCATTTAATCATCACAACCTTACGGGGGAGATGTAGGTAGGTAATGCCCCCGTTTTATTGACGAGGAAACTGAAGCACAGAGACATGAAGCCACCTGTCTGTGGCTTCTCCAGTAGAAAGGAACAGACTCAGGACTTGCACCCGGGCTGTCTTGCTTCTGAGTCTGTGCTCTTAAGAAGCACATATCACTGCAATATGCAAAAGGAGTGCAAAAGGAGAAAGATGAATACAAACTTAGTTTCGGACTCAGTTTAACTTTGGGAATGATGGTCTGGGCCTGGCATCTATCAGAGCCCATGCATCGCACATCACCCAGAATCTAGGGAGGAGGTGTTGAGCTGGAAACAGACTGCCGTTCCCACTGCTTTCCGGACAATCCTCTTTAAGGTCCTGGGGTAGGGAGTAAATTCTTTTTTATTGTCTATGCTCTTTCCTTCTGAAGAACCAGGTGCCATGAGGTGGACTAACCTAACGCTCTGCCTCAGGAGACAGCGCTGCAGTCCCCTGTGTCACTTGGATGCCAGGACGCCCTCCCGTTAACCAGCAAGGTGGTGGCGGCCATTTGGGGAGCAGCTCTCTGAGCTGCTGTTAGGAATATGTCCAGGTCTCCCCTTCCGTAGCTGTAGTTATGACCTAAGCAGAGATGGATAGGAACCCAGAACATTACATTTTTCACATCCCAGACGTCCTCCAGACCTGAGTCACTCTCGTGTCCCTGAGTACAAAAGCATCCTCTCTTAAGTATAGGAAGGAAGAAGCCCTTTCACATAATTATAGATAGAACGATGGTGGGGAGGAGGGCCCCGGCCATCCACGCCTTGCCTGGGGCTTCCACAAGGGGGCGATCTAACACGGGCTTACAGGTTCTCCCAGGGAGAAAGCTTGGTTTTTAACGTCACTTAAGAAGGAAAGATGAAACCTCAGGCTTTGAGAGGATGAGTTTGAGTCGGGACATTTGCACAAAGCTAGGACCCTTGAAGGCTGCAATCACTTTGTAAGGAAGACCAACAAGCTTCCCACTGGCCCAGGGAGGCAACTAGGAAGTCTCACGGCTTGTCTCTTCTGTGGATCCGGCTGGAGAAAAACGTTTTTTCATCTTCAGACAGGCGAGGAGCCTGAATTAGCCCACTGAGTGGTAAACTCAAGCTGAGAAATTATTACTATTAAATTTTTTTTTAACATTTATTCACTTTTGAGAGACAGAGAGAGAGAGAGCAGAGAAGGGTCACAGAGAAAAGGAGACACTAAATTTGAAGCTGGCTCCAGGTTCTTAGCTGTCAGCACCGAGCCTGATGCAGGGCTCAAACCCATGAACTATGAGATCATGACCTGAGCTGAAGTCAGATGCCTAAGCGACTGAGCCACCCAGGTGCCCCACAAGCTGAGATTATTTAAGCAGTTAACCCCAGGCTGTCTGTATGTATGTCTGCGGCGCCCAACAGTGGCAGCCATGGGACCACCTTGGCGGCACACAAGCCCTTCTTAAGGTACTCACAGCCTAACAAAGAAATAATTTCACGCAAACAAGGATTAGGAGGGCATTGCCTACCTCAGGAGCTACCTCATGTCTCTGGATAGGAAGACTTATCACGAAGATGCCCATTCTCAACAATTTAACATGTTATTTGAATATTGTCTTAATTAAAATCTTAAGGGTTGTTTTTTTTTTAATGTTTTTATTTATTTCTAGGAGAGAGAGAGAGACAGCGTGAGCAGGGGAGGGTCAGAGAGAGAGGGAGTCACAGACTGAAACAGGCTCTAGGCTTTGAGCTGGCAGGCAGCACAGAGCCCGATGCGGGGCTCGAACCCACGAACCGCGAGATCATGACCTAAGCGAAAGTCGGACGCTTAACCAACTAAGCCACCCAGGCGCCCCTACTGTATCAAGTATTAAAGCGGACTCAATCCCACCTACTGTGCCAAGGAAATAAACTGAGGTCTGACTCATGGACACGGTCTCCAGGGCAATTACTATTACCAAGCTCACAGAACTAAAAGATCATTAATGCACTGCATCAGGCCTTTCATTTAGGGAGGGATAAAATTTATCAAATGCCCAAAATGATGGGGAAGATTTGGCAAGGACAGTTCAACAAGTAGTATCAGCATAAAGTATGTCTTAGAAACAATCATCTCAACCACAGACTTGCTCTCCCAGACAATCAAAGAACTGGAGGCTATCCAGGGAAGACTGACCATTAGGATTCACTCATATGTCAAGGTCAAAGAAATTCCAACATCTGTTGGTATGATTTGACACTTTTACTAATTGGGTAGAGGTCTCCCCCCCCTCAAAAAAATTAAAAAGGTACAAGAAGTAATAAAAGTTCCGCTTTATAAAATAATACCCAGTTTCAACTTACCTAAAAATTTGCAAATTAATAATGGGAAACAGCTTCTTGACTCTTTCTCTGCTAGGACCCCCAGCTCTTGAAAAAAGTTTGGCACCTTGAAATAAAGCAAACTATCTGCTTATACTTAGCAAAATTCTAAATAACACCTCATAACCATTAGATGCTTTAAATAAAAAATAAATAACGTTAGGCTAGACTCTTGGAAAATAGAGTCATCATTGATTACTTACTACTCCT